CCACTTAAACCCTAAACCCACTCCCTAGGTATCCGAAGGCCAAGTTACAGGGTGAAGAGTTGCAGGTTCAGAGTTCGGGGTTCTAGGGTTATAAGTTGCTGTGAGGGATACGCGCGCGCAGTGAGTACGTAGAGCTTCAGCTCTTTCAATATAGGGTGCTGGGTCTTTCAAAGCTGGGTCAGTGCTGCACAAAAAGATTCAGTTGTATCCAACTCCAGGCCCAATAAATAAAATGAAGTTCTGATTGTACCCTAAACCCAGAACCCTGAACCCTGGAATGAGGAACCAGACTATGGTTGTCGCATCCTGGGTATGAAAATAAAATGGAAACTGGGGGCCCATCGCGGTTTGCAAGGGGTTGGGGTTTCCGGAAGTGGGGGATCCCGTCTTGTGGGTGCTATAAGGACCATAAGTCATATGACTTATAGTCTCAACTCCTTAAAGGGGATGATATAGGGGACTACTATAGGGGCTATTCAGGAGGATGCTAGGAGTTTAGACTATGGTTCATATAGGTGTACAACGGGTTCCCTCGTTTATGGCTACGGGCCACACCTTAAAGGTGCGCCGCACAGCGTTAACATGCAAGTTCGGATACACCCTCAACCCTACAGCTGCTGGAAATCCCTGCCTAAACCCCAAATGTATATTGAATAATGGCTTTTTGGCTGCTTATAGGCTGTTGGGGCTGTAATTCTACCTGTTTTTTTCGGCCTTGCGCACCTAGGGCCCCCAAGCTGCTGTATGTCCTAGAATGACAACGCACTTCAAGTAGTGAAGTGCCTTGTCATTCCACCCGATAGCTCGAAAATAACAAATAAGAATAAACAGCAATAGCAACGACTTGGCGCTTTGGCTTTAGGGTAACAAGGGGAACCCTTGGGGACCATAGTGAGACTATTAGTATTGTTATTGCTGTTATTATTGTTATTTATTTAGGGTAGCTTTTGTAGCAGCCCGGTCCTAAACTACAAGTTAGCCACACTGTTGATGGCTGAAACCTTGCATGACTGCACGATCATATGTACTTAATCTTTGAGATCTATAGAAGTATTGTTTACCCAAGGTCACGAAGTATTTTGGCCATCGGCAGCAACACCCTCATTGGATGCATGTCCATGAACAAACATCTAGAGCGCTTGCGCGATTTTACCATGGGTTTCCTTACCACCCCCGGCCTCGTTATGGGTTTATAGTCCCCCTTAAGTAGATAGAATATGGCTTTGGGTATAATATAATAGGATTCCCATATACCCCATATTCTATCTACTTAAGGGGGACTATAGGGTGATAACCAGCCCACACTAGGTCGCGACAAGAAGGGCGAGCGCGCCTACATCTTCACCGACGGTGAGGCAATTCTTAGCTTGGAGTGCACCCCAAATGTCCTAGGGTTTAGGGTTTAGGGACCCCAAATGTCCAAGAATTCAAGCCTTGAGGGTTCAGAGCCTAAATAGTATGATCTGAAGGGCCTTTGGTAGCCAGACCAGCAATAGTTTGGGCACTTGGACCTATTACTTGGAGGGTCAGGGGGACTTAGTTACTCCAGTTATGACCGTAGATAAGCGACAAAAGGGTGCCAGTTATCACCATTTTAGGGACCCCAAATGTCCAAGAATTCAAGCGCTGAGGGGTCAGAGCCTAGATAGTATGATCTGAAGGGCCTTTGGTAGCCAGACCGGCAATAGTTTGGGCACTTGGACCTATTACTTGGAGGGTCAGGGGGATTTAGTTACTCTAATTATGACCTGAGATAAGCGACATAATGGTCCCAGCTATCACCATTCTTAACCTACGTACTAAGTCCCCCTGACTCTGCAAGTGGAGGTACATTTGAAGGGTTTGTATGAGGCTTGTGCCTCCGCTATGGTTGAAACTCCTTGCAGGTGGTTATATACGGGATTATATAGGGAACCATTATAGGGGTTATCAGGTAGGATGCTGGAGGTTTAGGCTATGGCTCATATGGGATATGCTTGGCTTATATAGTAGCCTCACGTCGACATGACCTTTTGGTTTGGGAGAGTGCGATGCCGTGAAAGGGTAGATTCTTTCATGAAAGCTTCTTTTAAAAGTGTTGGATACTATGCTGCAAAGGTCCTCAGCATCCACGTAGGAAGTTACCTACCAAAACGGAGCGGCTAGTTACCACTACAGAGACCACACTTTGCACTACGTAGGTGCTTTGGACGCTTTTGGATCTGGAGTTGTTGAGGGTGGCCCTAAACCCCAGGGTTCAGGGGTACTACAGGTTTGGCATTCTGTCGCCCCGCTCGTACAGGGATCGTACTGCGGGAGTGGGAACTGGGCGAGAGACGAAGCAGCCTAAACCCTCGGGATCTAAGTCTTCAAACGATACTCGCCTTGGTCTCTGAAGTCGTCTAAGCGCCACATCTATGTTGCTTCTCCCTCAACCCTAAACTTCAAGCCCTAAATCCTAAATTCCAAAACCCTTCACCCTAAACTCTTCAACCCTGAGCTTCTAAACGCTTGGAAGTCAGGAATTGCCACAGTTTGCAGCTTCACCCCTTAAGCCTTAGATAGCCTTAGGCTTTAGGGTTTAGGGTCTGAGGTGTAGGGTATATGGGCCTTACGTAAGGTGGTGCCCCCCCCCCAAACAGAAAACTCTCTGAGCCCCAAAATCCAACCTAAAAGTTACAGCATATGTAGCCCGCATTGTTCACTTTGATGCCGCCGCAGCTCTTGCAGCGGTAAATGGACCCAATCCGCTTTAGGGTTAAGGGTTTAGGGTTTCAGGCTTAGGGTTTTAGATGTTGATGTTTGTTCATGATCCTTGTGCACTAGAGCACTTGATTGCGAAAACGTCTGGCACCTGGGGTCGTTCAGGTAACAACGCGAGTATGCCACCACAGTTCCCAGGATATGTCTAGGGGCTTTAGGAGGGACCCTTAATGGGGACCCTTGTAGCTTATTGGGGGGGTAATGGGGGTACTAGCTGGTTATATAAGGAGTATACAGGGATTAGCGGTTCCTTCTAGGCGTCCCTCCTAATAACCTTTGAGTATGGGTATGGAGGATCATGCAGCATTTGCCTATGAACAGTAGCGACAGCGCTGGGTGGGTCAGCTTCTAGTGAAGACCAAACAAAATTGGAGTTCCGAAATAGCGTGAGCTTTGTATTTTTTGGGGGGGGAGTCTCAGGACACCCCCCTCTGTAACCTAAACCATAAAACCCTGAAACATATACAGCCACAAGACCTCCCAAACCCTGAACCCTAAACCCTACACCCTAAACTCTAAACCTTAAACACTAAACCCTACAGCTTGAACCCGAAACCCTACACCCTACGCCCTAAACCTCAAACCCTACACCCCAAACCCTACACCCTAAACCCTTAACCCTGAGCCGTCTTTGGGTGGAGGGTCCCTCCCCAACTTGCCACATGGGATCCTTCTTCTCCGTATTCACTGCGGCTCGTGTCCTGCCTTGCCTTTGCATATATATATATATCATGATATGTTGGGTTTAGGGTGTAGGGGTTTCAGTTTAGGGCTTAGAGTTTAGGGTTTAGGGTATGTTGGGTACGCCTGATGTACACTAAGATTCTGTGATGCTTGTGGCTAAGGCCCCGCAGGAAAGGCGACGCGCGACTTCTTGGAACCCCTCAGCTAGGTCTATCTTGACTCATCAAGCACAGGCCCGAAATATCATTAATCTCATGTCCTCATCATCCCAATAGTAGGCAGGGTAGAACAAAATTATGACCATCATGTCCTATAGTCTCTTATGCTCATTATGCATGGTGACAGATCACGCTGCACCAAACCCTAACGAACTGCGTCTATCCTACTTTAGGGCCCTCGAAGCAGGGACTCAAATACCACCTCATTATGGCGTCAGACGGGTATTTCCACAAATCAGGGCCACGCAAGCTGAGAGTCTAAGGGATTATGTTCAGGCATATCTCTGTAGTAGATTTGTACGCGCAGAGCAGTCCCGACTACACAAGAACCCCTTGAATTCCAACTGTGGCCTATCCAGATACCAACGAACAGAGCAGCAATCCGCTTGGAACCAGCTTTTAACGGGACCTAAACTCGAAACCCTAAGCCCTGAAACCCTAAACACCTAAACCCTTAAACAGTAGATTTTTGTGTTTTACCCTTCATACGTTGCCCCCTAAGGGTCCAGGGACCTAAATAATAAGGTTTTAGGACCCAAATACTGTAGTTTTAGTGGTATCTGGGCCCTAGACCCTATTATTTGGGTCCTTGGACCCTAAATCCTAAACCCTAAATCCTAACCCTAAAGCCCCATTATTTGGGTCCTTGGACCCATGTCATTTTGCGGCCATGGCTTGACGGGTCCAGCCGAAGTTCGGCTCCTGCTGCTGTTCAGCCTCTCCGCAGTCTTGCTGTTGGTGGCTGTGGATCTGTTACCAAATTGGAATAGGGCTTAGGGTTTAGGAGTTAGCGTTTCAGCCTTTCCTCTGTCTTGCTGTTGGTGGCTGTGGATCTGTTACTGAGTGGGATATTATCATGAGTATTACTACCATCTCCATATTACTATGAGTAGTATAGTCTTGTTAGTATGACTATTTTCTATTGAATAATTAGTGGATCTGCTACTGGGTTGGCCTTCGGCCTTGGCTTTCCTTTGTCTTGCTGTTGGTGGGCGCGGATCTGTTGCTGAGTGGGATATTCTCATGATGATGCAGACCAGTATTCCGATCAGTAGTATAGTATTGCTCTTGTGACTATTTTTCTATTGAATAATTAGTGGATCTGTTGCCCGGCTGGCCTTGAGGATAGGGTTGAATGTTTAGGGTTGAGGGTTTAGGTTTGAACATCTTCCTTATTGCGTGGATGTGTTACTGAGTGGGATGCTATCATCATTATTATCACCAGTATTACTGTGATTACTATTATTACTGTTATCATTATTTTTCTACTGAATTATTATTTACATAGTTTCCCTTGTTGTTTTCATAACAACCCTATATACCAGTATTTTTCAAAATGCTCCAAAGCCAACCAAGGTTAGATCAACCAAAGTCTTCCATCTCTTTACAAGTGGTACTGGCTGCCCCGCATGCAGGGCCACCTGCACCGCAAAGCTATCTCCAGCCGAGCTCTTCAACATTCCTGCCAACATCGCATCCAACATCAGCTGCTTCACCTAAGATCCTTTTGCCTCCAGCGCGCTCCACAAACACAAGATCCCTGGCTATTCTGTTCCGAGGTGGGTCGTTTCGTTCGAAGAAAGCACAGGCTACCAACGAGGTGAACACCTCTCCGCTGCTCCAGATGGTCACAAGTGAAAGCCACCAGAAACACATCATCCGGCCATTACGCACTGCTGGATGGGAAGTGGACATTTTCCTGATCACGTATGAAAGCCGCTGGTCCCCTCTGCTCTTGAAGGTGTATGCACCAGTGGCCCACCAATTTACGGGTCCATGCGCTGGGAATGCACAGATCTGCCAAGGGAAGCATTATCATGCCGGCCTTGATTTGGTTCGCCGTCATATAGCTCGTACCCAGGCCTCCTATGCATCTGTGCTGATGTTTCGGTTTGACTTGAAGTGGAAGTTCAATCTCCTGCAAAGTCCTGGCCTCAAGCGCTCACACCTTCAGAACCCCGGGGCTTCTGATGAACATGCCTTCATCTTGGCATTTCGACAGGGTCGGGTCTTCACGGACCAGGGTCACGTTGGTGTCAATGCAAAGCGTCACAACCGCGGTGCGGACACTTACCGCCGGGTACGTAACTTTTCGCATCTTTTGGCTTTTAGAGTTTAGGAAGACATAAGAACCCCTACAAAAGCCAGAACGCTGACCTCTGAGATGTCCTGGATACGGCACAGCAAAGGACATGATCCTGTTCTTTCCCCAGTGGGTTTTGGAGTGCGTACGAGACATGATGGCAGTTAGATCTCGGGTATAAGGGCTAGTATACGGGACTCTAGAGGGACATATAGGAACGGATTAAGGGATTCATTCCATTTCCTGCTTGGACAGGCGTGTTACTTGAAATTTACTTCTTTTAGTGACCATACGTATATTTCATTTATAACCATGAATACTAGACAATGGTAACCAGAGTTGGGACATACCTACACTTACAAGGTAGGCTATAAGTAACACGCCCCAGGCGACATGCTGGTCTGCACGAATCGGCCCGCAGGGCACACGACTGCTTTGCTCTGCGACCAAGATTACCGTCTGCATTTCCTGATGCCTGGCTACTACGAAGAGGGCATCAAGCATCAAGCCAACCCACTGTTTGACCAGCTTCCGAAGCGCTATGACGTCGGCAAAATTTGCCAGTCCTTGGATGACTTTCGCTGGATAGATGAGGCCGGAACATACTGCTGCGCACGGTCGCCTGCCTGGAACTGCGAGTGGAAGCATGGGGCAAATGTCTCTGGACCCGATTCCACGTTCCAGGGCTCTTGTAGAACAAAAATTTACATTTTTTATGGTTACCTGGGCCCTAAACCCTAAACCCGAAACCCTAAACCAACAAGAACCCAGGTTCCTGGATTGGAGTGAAGGTGAGCTGGATGTCTCAAGTTGCTGGGAAACGCTGCAGCGATATGGACTTGAAAACTTCATCCGAGTTGTCCCTGCCGTCAAGAACCATATGAGCTAGAACCTATACTCCGTAAAGGGGGTTATACAGGGGATTTTATAAGGGAGTAATATAGGGGGCCTATTAAGGGGGATGCTAGGAGACCATAGCTCTTATGGCATATGAAGTTTTCAGAGCTCCAGACCCCCTTCTGAACTCCCCTCCCCTATATTGAAAGGCTCTTGTTAAGGCATCACAAGATGTCCACGACATGTAGTCTTCTCTGCGCCAGGAATTACAGAAAGAAACCCTGAGCTTTGAAAACTCCCAAATAGCGCAGACCTGAACAACAAAAGTAGGCAAAACAAGTGCCCTAAATCCCAAAAAGAGTCCAGCTTGCAAAACATGACATATCCCAGGTAGGATGAATTGAACAACTCAAGTCAAGGTACGGGCCTGCACGGTGATGGCTTGGGTGATAAGTGAGTAGTAGAATATGTGCATAATTGCAGTTCTGTCTTTGCAGCAGAGTTTGTACCTAAGTGGCACTTTCCTGCACGCCGAGACCAACAACCAGAAATCCGAACCTCTTCCTCTCTTCTGGGTTCTCCCTAGACCCGCGCCGTATTATACTGTTGATGGAGGAAATCACCACCTTCAGTCCCTAAAGTCCTAGGAAGTACGGTAGTTTAGGGCCCCTAGGTGGTGCAAGATTTCGACCATCAACAGTACCCCCCCTCTCCCTCTAGCATAGTGAGGGTTAATTCACGATGATTGCTGGGCAACCTGTGGATGGGGTGTTGGCAGCACAAAGAGGAACAGGGTTCGGGGTTTAGGATTTAGGGGTTTAGGGTTTATATATAGGGTTTAGGGCTCAAACCTACGTCCAGAAGCAGAAAACGAAGCTCCAGTTTGCTGGTACTTTGTACCAAGATCAACCTTACCTAATCTTGCCACTCAGGTCCCCAATAAACCCTTTTTTGCCATGGTACGAGGGGCAGCTGCCCTCTTTCCATTGAAGTACCCACTACCTGCACACTTAGAATTTTGGTAGCAGGAATTGTAAAGTACGGACCCTAAACCCGAAGCCCTTGGCTAGGGCATGAGGAATGGATTGCTACGATCACTCATGTGCGTGAGGATCCCTGGCCCTCGTTTCTTACGAATTACCACAGATGGCTGGAAAGGTGATGAAGTTGGGTATCGCAAATGATGCCATGAGTACCAGGTAGGTCTAGTAAGTCTGAACCCTAAAATTGGAGACTGCAAACGTGGTAAATTCCACCCAGGAGTAACAACATAACCCTAAACTCTATCTCTACTCCAACTACACCCTGGTGGAAACCTTGGGTCCCGAAACCTTGGGTCCCATGTTCATATTTCGTGATTTCAGGGTTCAGGGTTTGGGATTTAAGTTTTAGGGTGTACTGCAGGGGTTAGGGAGGAAGGGCATACCCATATCATCCAAGTGCGATCCCCATATGATGGTAGGTAACTACCATATTTACTGTCTTCTCAACCTTCCTCAATCAGGCCCGGGAGAAACTAAGAATGACAAAACAAGGCGAGCATTGTGGCCTGCTACCCTCGAAGATTTGACAGTCGTTGTGCTTCGTTTCGTTTGAATGAAGTGTTACCCAGAGGGTCCACATATATAACCATTAGGGAATTGGGCTATGGTATTTTGGGGCTCAATTCCCTAATACTTGTATATATGGACCCTCTGGGTCACGTTTGTTTTATGCGCTGCATGAATACCAGCATCAATGTCCAGATCCCCCCTAGCTATCAGCATACTATCTAGAAAAAACCCGAGTTATAGCCAGGTCATACTTATCGCTTCTTGTGCCTCTGAATCATATTCCCATTTTCTAGATAAAAATGTTAGTATGTCTCCTGGCCAGGATGTCATGGGAACAGCTGTGGTAAGCATCCGCCCTGGCAAGAAGATGGACCACCAAGGCGGGGCAAGATGTCCTTAAGCATTTAAGAATTGGGGTGTGTGGCGTAGGTTTTAGGATTTGGCGTTTATAGGGGTTGTGGTCGGAGGTATAGGTATTGGGATTTAGGGCTTAAGCGGGCACTGGCGTTTAGGATTCATGGGCGGGCAGTCAAAAAACTTGGCCCTTGACCCTAAACCCTTTAAGCAGGGGGCGCACTTGAGGCCCAAGGTATTTCTGGAGAGTACTCGGGGAGGATTGGTCACTCTGACTTAGCCCTAAGCCCTAAAGACCTTGAACCCTAAATCCTAAGCCCTAAACCCTACACCCTAGATTTTACAGTAGGGATTTCAGGATCCAGGGCTGGAAGGTTGATGGATGTCAGATTGCAAGGTTTAAGGGCCTAGGCTGCAGAGGGTTATATAAGGCTTTGTGAAGCTAAAATTTGAGGGCTCAGGCTTTTAAGTTTTAAGGAGTTTAGGATTCAGGTTTTAGGGTTTAGGCTTCAGGGTTTAGGGTTTGAGTTTTTAGGGTTTAGGGTTTAGAGTCTAGGGTTTAGAGCTTAGAACTTAGGGTTTAGAGTTTAGGGCTTAGAGTCTGGGTTTGATGATGTAGGTGTTCGGGTTTTGTGACATCTTTGGGGAGATGTGAGGTGAAGGGATGTGTCCGTTCTATAGTGGTAGAAGCCGTCTACAGGAAGCTAGCTGTAAGGAAGCTTACTGGTTCCTAGTGGGAGGTATTGGAATACATAGTTCATTATGTGGGAAACTTTCACATCTGTCTTTCTAAAACCTTTAAAGCCCAAACCCTCTAAACCCTAAACTTCCCCTGACCCAAGCGGCTTACCCAAGGGAACCTAGCGAATTTGGCAGGCCCCTTGGAAAGGGGCTCACGGTTTGGGGTCTATAGGGTGTAGGGCTTAGGGTTCAGTGTTCAGGGTTTAGGGCTTAGGGTTCAGTGTTTAGGGCTTAAGGTACAGGCTTTAGGGTTCAGGGTTTAGGGTTTAGGATTCAGGGTTTAGGGTCTAGGCTTGGGTTTTGATTTTGGGGGAGAGTGGCTATCAATTTCTCGTATACTAAAACCCAGGGGGTCTATAAGGGTCTATCCAAACCTTGTTTTGGGGACGGGGTAGCAAGTGGGTTTGTAGGACTGCGGTGAGCTTTGACTCAGTAAGCCTACCTACTATCCCCAGTAGTCCCTCTGTTGCAGGCCCCTGGGGTTTAGGGTTTGAGTTTTGGGGTTCAGGGGGTAAGCCTGTACTCTTTCCAGTCAAGTGGCGAGATTGATTGATTAGCCCCAGAGCATAGGGTACATGAGTGAGCGTCTAAGCAACTATTTCGGCCCTTTCAAAAACCAATCCCTAGGAAAGAGGAATCCAATCTATACGTCAATGTCCCATTTCATTGTTCCATGTTCTTTCTGCTTGATTTTCCATTGCAACCTTGTTTGGAGTACCTTGGCCCCTACACTTTGAACACTAAATTTGAACCCTAAAGCTTATACACCCTGGTAACCTCTTTAAGGAAGCCCTATTCCAGCTCTTTAGGCCCTTCCCGAAACCTACGCTGTATAAGCGCTAAATCGGGTGCCCCCAAACCCAAAAAGCACAAACTCCAAATCCAATACCCCAATTAGAGCGACGGGCATCTGGCCCAACGCCGAACGAACCCTAAACCTTAGGCCCCCTAAGTCCTAAACCCTATATGCCCTAAACCCTAACTCCTAAGCCTCAAACCCTAAACCTTAGGCCCTAAAAAACCTAAGTCCTAAACTCTACACACCCTATGAACCCAAATCCCCAAACCCTAAACTCATTATGCAACTCAGGTATCAAGGTGGAGCTAATTGGTCAGGCAGGGGCAGCATAAGCTGTAGGGTTTAGGGTTAAACAGAATAGGGTTTAGGGTTTAGGGTTGAGCAGAATAAGCTATGGGGTTTGCTTTGGCTTGGTGGGTTGCCAAAAGGCTTCAACAGGGAAAAGGGTTCAGAATTTAGGGTAAGCTATACAGGGTTTGTTTTAGTTTGGGGGTTGCCAAAAGGTTTCATTAAGGATTCGGGTTGCGGTTTAGGCTCAAAGTTTTGCTGCCTGGTCCCTGCACAATCCACAGTGTTTTTGGAGATACGCAAAAAATGCAGATGGTATGATCAGGAAAGTCTCCACAGTCAGGAAAAAGAGGGTTCCGTCAGGTCCAAGTATGCGAGAGGCTTATGAGGAGCTTTGCGTGACGCAGCAACCCTAAACCCATAACACCCTAGACCCTAAACCCCTGACTGCTTGGAAGCTCTTCCGTTTCAAAATAAGACTTCCTCAACTTAACTTCCTACCCTCCCCAAACTAACATAGAACTCCACGAGAAACCTAAAAAGATTATTATAGCCATTCCAAAAAAGCCTTGTCAGGGTTCCAGGTTCATGTCGGGAAGGGCAAGTAATGCTCAAAATGGACCCTAGAGTCTCTTCACAATTCCTCAAACTCAAAATCCCCAGTTCCCAAGGCGCGCCTGAAGTCAGAAAGTCCGACATCAAGTGATTGAACCACGCATAGCGGTTTCATGAATAGGCGGCCTCAAACATGGGTCCGGATATATACGGAATATCGGGAGTCGGGACAAGGGACCCCTACTGTCCGGAACCTTCCTTCCAGTAGCACCTTTATGAAGGACCGCTTTTTCATTAGTTTGGGGAAGAGTAGCCACACTGTAGTGTGCTTTCATTTGCAGAACCTGGTCTCTCAAGCACGAAAATCTTATTACAATTTTGGTGTCGGGGCTTAAGGTAGCTTCAGTAAGGGTACTAGGGCCCTTGCCATGCAAGCTTCGGCCACAAGAGTAGGTAAGTAAGGGGTACTGGCCCCCTGGTATTGCCGAGGTGTAGAACTGAAAGGCAGTGCAAACTGCAGCTGCTCCAGTCATATGCCTTTAGGGTGCATTAAGGGTTTAGGTTTAGGGAACAGCACTTCTGATGAGGATAAGTGGAGCGCCCTTTGTCACGTAAGACTTCTTGTCCTTGGGATCTCTACTACTTTACATGTTGCAAAGACAAAGCTTGAACCTTGGACCACGTCTTTATTTATGTATACCCTGAGGTAGGGCG